TGAAAAGGCCACATTAGGTGTTTTGGGAAGCATGCAGGCGGTCCCACTGGGGCTTCGGTGGGAATCCCTATGGGGCCACGAAACGCTGTCTTGGGCGGGTGAAAATGCAAAATTTGGTGTTTCGGGCCGCTCGCAGACGGTCCCACTGGGGCCTTCGGTGGAGCTCCCCATGGGGCCATGAAACGCTGTACTGCGTGGGTGAAAATGCCACAGGGACGCATGGGGCCTTCGGTGGAGCTCCCTCTGGGGCCACGAAACGATGTACTGGGTGTGTGAAAATGCCACATTGGGTTTCCGTGGCGCATGCGGACGGTCCTACTGGGAGCCTCGGTGGAGCTCCCTATGGGGCCACGAAGCGCTGTATTGAGTGGGTGAAAATGCCACATTGGGCTTCCGGGACGCATGCAGCGGTCCCACTGGGGCCTTCGGTGGAGCTCCCTGTGGGGCCACGAAACGCTGTACTGGGTAAGCGAAAACGCCAAATCGGGTGTTTCGGGCCGCTCGCAGGCGGTCCCACTGGGGGCTTCGGTGGAGCTCCCCATGGGGCCACGAAACGCTGTACTGGGTGGGTGAAACGCAGGGAGGAGGGGCAGGGAGGGAGGAGGGGGAGGAGGGGGAGGAAGGAAGGAGGGAGGAACGCGGAGACCGTCTCTTCAAAACGAGGACCCAACGCCACAGGATGGTTGGGAAATATTGAGTTGGGCGCCGCAGGGATTCGAGACGCACTCAGCAGCCACAGGCTCGCGCCCCAGAGGCCCGAAAGGCTCGCGCTCCAGAGATCCCAGAGATCACGTTTGGCGTCCTGGTGGCTCCAGTATATAACAATCTAACACACTACGTTTGGCGCACTGGGGGCCCGAGAGGCCCCACGGTGGCTCCAAGACTCTGAAGGGGCCCTGGGACACACAAATAAATACACACGAATAAAAAGATTCCCCATAGTTTCCCATATTTTCTGGGTTTTTGTCTTCGCCCCCACTTCCCATAGTTTCCCATATTCTCCTGGGAGTCGACGATTAATTGTGTCTGTGTGATTTTTCCCCTCCTGAGATTCCCAAGACGGCCACAAGAGGTCCCAATACGACCAGAAATATGCATACGGCTGGCCAATGATTTACAACAGACTGCCTGCACTGCTCCCATGAGACCTATTTGCAACAGGTCGCCTGCGTTGCTCCCGTGGGATCCCAAGATGGACCCAAGACGGCAGCGAGGGATACCAGGATGGCCCGACGAGCGACCAGGAGGCCCCCAGAAGCCCCCAGATGGGCCAGAGGCCCCAAGATCACCGAAGATGGCCCAAGAGGCTCCGCACAGGCCCCGAGAGAACCCGACAACCCCCAAGACAGTCATCAGATGACCCCGAAAGGCGGCACACAAATGACCCAAGACGCCACCAGGAGGCCCTAGAAAGGCCTAACGAAACTCCCAGAAATGGCTCCTATGTTGCCCTGGGATGCCCTAACACTACCCAATAAAACCCACGAGGAATGAGCCTGAGAAGGCCCCAAACCTGGCACAATCCAATGATCCCCCAACCATGGATTCATCAGAGGGGGGCTGGCGGCAGAGCGGAAGCCCGTTGGATATTCTGAGCGAAAGGGGATGCTCGAGGTCGTTGCCGGTCACTGTGTCAACACTGGGATAAGGAAGGACGCCTGAGGTGGTGGTCGGTCACTGTCTGAAAAGCGTGTGCTATCCGCAAGACCACCGCGTCTGCCCACTTCGGTCCGCTGACCATGCAAGAGGTGGGCAGACCGTCTGAGTCTAGGCCCATTGGGAAGGCGATAGATGGCTGCCGCGTGATATTGAAGATCATCGTGTTGTACTGGTCGTTTCTGAGAACAGGAAGCGATGAAGACGAGGTGCGAGACTGCTTGCGCCGCCGTTGCTCGGCCATCTCGCTCAGGTCGGCTGGGAGGGATGAAGCCGCGGTCTTCGTGGTCGGCAGGATATACGCCGAGATGTTCCGAGAGCGCAGGCTGCCCTCAAACGCTGCCTCCACGCGCTCCCGCTGCCCCAACGCCTTGATGTACCTCGAGACGCTGGAGTCGAGGTAGGGGGCGGCTGTCTCAAGACACAGCGGCGAGACATCGCTCTGCCGATGGCGCAGCAGCTGCTCAATGTAGGTGGCCTTCTCCGGCAGCATGATCGCACTCAGCAGTTCCCACTCGTCCAAGTTCTCGTCCTCGGTGCCCGCTAGTGGCTCAACGTCAACAATGCAGCAGCCCAAATCCTCGAAAACTTTCAGCGCCGTCTTAAAATGAGCTTTCACTTCTTCAGATGATTTTTCCAATAGCGACGGCACCACGCCTAGATTCAGCCCCGTCAGCCCGCTTCCAAGGTTGGCCGTCAGATCCTCCTCTCGATTGGGTCCCATGAGTGAGTCGGGATCAGCAGGGTCATGACCCTTGATCACATTGAGAAATCCGCCGACCCTGTCGGCGTGTGGAAGAGGCTGTTCCGTTTGACTCGCTTTCGTCGACGTCGTCGTCTTCGTCACCGTCGCCGTCGCCGCTCCCTCTCTTTTCTCGGGCCCGTCGCCGCCCTCCCCTTGTCCTGGGCCCTCCTCCTCAAGCGCGCCAGCCGAAACGAAATTGAGCAACGTCGTAATCGAGTCGAGGGGAAGCCCCTTGCCTTTGATCCCTTTGATCCCTTCCCCGCCAGGGGGGGGGGTCCTGGGGGAAGGGTCCCAGGGGGGGCCCCGGGTCAGAGTACCACCCCCCTTGGGGTGGGCCGGGGCCCAAAAAAGTCCCAAGACGAGCCAAGAATGCCCCAAGAGGCCCCCAAGACGGTCCAAGAGGACCCCGAATCGCCGAACGATCGGTCCAAGACGTCTTTACGGCCTCCAGACGGCCCAAGAGGGCTGCAGACGGCCGAAGAGGCCTCGAAGAGCACTCCCAAGAGAGCCCCAAGAGGCAAAACCCATTGATTTTCCTGAAGTGCCTGAAGTGTCTTCAAGGGTTTGGGCGTTCTCGCCTTTTCAGCTTCCCGACGCTCGAAAACGGCCCAAGAGGCTCCAACGATCGCCCCTAGAGGTCCCCAAGACGGTCCCGAAACGGGCCAAAGAGGGCCCGAAGACGGCCCAAGACGCCTGCAAGACGGCCCAAGAGGCCCACAAGAGGGCTCCAAGAGGGTGCCCAGACAGGGAACCCAACGGACATGTCGAGCCCTCCGCCCCGAGAGGCTCCCAGGAGGCCCCAAGAGGCCCCCAAAAGGCCCCAAGAGGCCCACAAGAGGCCCCCAGGAAGCCCAAAGAGGCTCCCAAGAAACTCCCAAGAGGCCTCCAAGATGCTCCCAAGAAGGGGCCCCCAGAACTGCCCCCCAGAGGCCTCCAAGAGCGCTCCGAAGAGATACCAAACAGAATCCCTGAGGACTCTGACCCACGTCAGCGTCGTCGTCATCGTCGTCGTCGTCGTCCTCGTCGTCGTCGTCGTCGTCTTCGTCGTCGTCGTCGTCTTCGTCGTCGTCGTCGCCGTCGTCTCCCTTCAGGGTCGGCGGCACTGGCCGTAAGGCCTTCGCAATAACGCACAATCCTGGGCGGAGCGACACAAGGGCCCGGCAGTGTCGAGTGTTCTGCTCAGGGGAAAGACACCTCGTTTGCTGACCAAACCATACGTGGGTTTCATCCCTGTCAGCCCACAAAACGCGGCTGGACCCCTGATGGAGCCGCCAGTGTCGGACCCTGTGCCGGCGAGGATGTGGCCCGCTGCGAGGGCTGCCGCGGTCCCGGCGCTGGAGGTTCCGGGAGACCTCCCGAGATCGAAAGGGTTGCGCGTCACCTCGTCGCGGTAGTGAGGATTCAGAATGCCACCGCTCGCGAACTCTGTCGTGAAGAGCTTCCCCACCAGCACGGCTCCCGCGCTGCGGAGCAGGGCCACGGCGTGCGCATCCTCCGTCGGCACGCGGCCGCGCAGAGCGCGGCAGCCTGCGGCGGTGGGCACCCCTTCCGTGTCGAACAGGTCCTTGATGCCCACGGGCACGCCGTCGAGCTGGGACAGCGGCCTGCCTGCAGCCCAGCGCGCAGCAGATGCCTTCGCCTCCTCCCGAGCACTGGCAGCAGTCAAGTGCACCCAACAGTGCAGCTTCTTGTCATGGTCCCCCACTCGCTGGAGGCACGCTTCCAGGACGTCCACCGGTGTAAACGCACCACTAGCGAAGCCTGACCGGGCCTCAGCAATGGAAAGGTAATGCAGTGGCCGCGACTCCCGATAGCCTGTGGATTCCATCGTCCCAGGGGTAACCTATCTGAAGCTCTTGGCTGCCATGATGGTCTCGGCCAGAATTTCTTGAGCCAAAATGATACCGGGTGATGATGGTGGTGGTTCTCATGGTGAAGATGAGGTTCATGATGGCCATGACCTATGAGACCCCCCTTTTCGGGTGATGAAGAGGTCAAAATGGCCCCCACACGACCCAAGAGGCATCCAGACGCCCAAAAAGACCTTCAAAGAGGCCTCCCAAAAGGGCCCCATGCCGAAACCATTGATTTCCCATTGGTTGTTGCAAGATTTTGGCTTCCCGACGCACCAACGCGACCCAAGAGGCGCCCAAGATCGCCCCAAGAGGGCCCAAAGACGGCCCATGAGGGCCCCAAGACAGCCCAAGAGGCGACCAAAACGGCCCAAAAGGGCCCCAAGACGGCTCCAAAAGGAGGGACAAAAGACAGAATACTGACCGAAAACCCGAGCCTTCCGCCCCAAGAGGCCCCCCCCCAGGAGGCCCACAGAGGCGCCCAGGAGGCTCCAAGAGGCCCCAAGAGGCCCCCAAAAGGCCCCCAAGTGGCCCCAGGAGGCCCCTCAGAGGCCCAAAGGAGGCCCCCAAATGCGCACAAACGGCTCCCACGAGGCGTCCAAACTGCCTCAAAGAGGCCCCCGAGAAGCCTTCCATGAGACCCCAACGAACATCCAATATGCTTCATAGCCACAACCCAGGCACGGTGGTGGGATGGGCCGAAGGCCATCAAATACGCCGCCCCCTGTTGGCTTGCCAAGGGGTGCACGGCATGCCGGATGTTTGGGCATCTGGCCGTTCACTTGTTTTCCAAAGAACTCCCCATGGGTCCTCGGCCGATGCCGCCAGCCACCCGGAAGGCTCTGCCAGAGGTGGCTGGAAACAGTATTCCCGCTCCAGATGTATCTCACATGGCCAAAGATGGCCTCCAAGACGGCAAATATGGCCTTCAAGTTCGCCCAAGATGGTCCAAGATGGCCCCACGACGGCCCAAGAGCGTCCAAGATGCCTCCATGTTTGCCAATGAAGCCTCCAAGACAGCCCAAGACGGCCTCAAGATGACGGCTGACGGCTCAAGAGGACCCTCCAAGGCGGCCCAGGAGACCTTCCAAAGCCTGAAGAAGTCAAAATCCGCCCACTCCTTGTGGGTCTCTAAGCGTGCGAGATCGTTCCCATTCGCAATCCCCCCCCGGACCCCAAACTGGCAACTTGACCCCCCCCAGGCCCAAGACGACCCACCCCCGAAGTCACCCGGGGGGGGTCCAGCCTTCCCCGGGCTCCCCTTGGAGCGCCAAGACAGCCTCTGAGGCCTCAAAAGCCCCCCGGACGGTCCAAGAGGGCCCCGACTCGCAAAAATATCGCTCCAAACCGCCCAAGATGGCCTCCATACGGCTCAAGGTGCTCCTAGAACGCCCCACGAGGCTTCTAGCAGCCTCCCCCAGAGGGCCGTCAGAAGCCAAAATCACCGTGTTCTTTTCGGAAGAATCTATATTTCTAGCAGATTCGCCTCTGGGGTTTTCACTACGTCCTGAACGGCTCAAAAAAACCCACGACAGCTCCAGGACGGCCCAAAATAGCCCCAAGACGGCCAAACACGACCGAAGAAACCCCCAAGCTGGTCGAAGAGGGCCCCAACCCAACCAGAAATTTCGACCAGTCGGCCCCAGGACGCCCCCACGTTGTCCCAAGAAACACCCAAAGAAGCCTCAAGGGGCCCCCCAGGAATCCCAAGAGATCCAAAAAAAAACACCAACACCTCCCCAGGAGGCCCCTCACAGGCACAAAAACTGGCTCCAACACGCCCCCAAGAGCCCTCCCACGAGACCCCATAAGCCATCCGAGCGGCCTCAAACTCACAACCCCGTTCGCGGTCCGGATACCCGCACACTGCCTCCAGATCCAAGGTGAAACTATGCATCCTGGGGGTGCCGGGATCACCCGGAAGCCGAAGCCCACGCCCGCGAACCAGATCCTCACTTTTCCTCCTCCACCTTTTCCTCCTCCTCCGCCTCCCCCCTCTTCCTCCTCCACCCCACCCTCCTCCTCCACCTCCAAACGCCCCTCCACCTCCTGTTCGCCCCTGCAGCCCCGAAATTTCGCGAGCTGCCCCACGCTTTCAGCGGGTCTCACGCGCACGACTTGCACTTCAGGGTGCCCCTCTGGCGCGCACATTCGAAACACGGTCCAACGACTAACTGAGATTTCGGGAGCTTCCTCTCGCAGGTGCCGAAGCACTCGTACGCTTGCCAACTGCGCGCCGTGAAGCCGAGGTCCACGAAGTCTGCGCATACAACTTTACTGTTCCTGGTGAAGCGATCACTGTCCTGTCTGTCGCTTATGTGTTCCTGCCGTCGAAACTTGTTCTCGCACGCCACGAACGTCACTTCTCGCTCAAGCCGTTTCGCCGCATCGGCCACTTCCTTCGCGGTGCTGCCACGCGCCCCTGTTTCGCTGTTCGGTGATCCTCAACTTGCCCCATCTTCAAATGTTTCGTGTCCACGAAAGCTCCCCCGCGCGCCTCGCACGTCAGCGCCTTCTTTTCCGCATCCGCTTTCCTCTTGCGGTTCGGTGCCTTGGCATTCGCTCTCCACGCCGCTTCCTCCCTCGCCTCCGCGCAGTTCCGGCAAAGCCTGTCCGCAGCTACGTTGCGCTTCTTCTGCGCTTCCGACATCGCCGCAAATTCGTCAAAAAGCGACAGGTCTGCGTCGTTCGAACACCGCACTGCTCGGACCCTGTCGTTCCAGCTCGCAAACCCACTGCGCGACTTCTTCCTGGCTTTCACATGCGCGCACTTCGCGCAGTACATGGTCCGAATCCTTCGGCCCTTCTCCTAGTCGCCCAATGCCTTCCCGCCCCGCTCGCCGACCCGCAGCGCGGGCTCCTCCTCGCCTGCGCTTTGCAGGCCCAACCGTTGCAGGCCCAACCAGACGTGCGAGATTCGTCCCATGAACGGCCCCAAAGGCCCCCAGAACAGCTCAGGGATGGTCCCGAAGAGCCCCGAGCCCGCCCAAAAAAACCGAAGACGACACAAGAAGGCCCCAGGACAACAATAGAAGGTCCCCGACTAGCTCAAGGGGTCGGCAGATGTGGCGCAAGTCTATAGATCATTGACTTCCCTAGGTTTTGAAGGAATTTGGCATTTGCTTCTTTTCGGCCTTCGGACGGTTGACGACGGCCTCAGAGGCCCCCGAGATCGCGTCCAGATGACCCTTGCAGCCTCCAAGATGGCTCCACAACGGCCCAGGACCCAAGACATGGCCCAGATGTGGAACCCGAACGGACATTTGGAGCGCTCGGCCTCGAAAGGCCCCCAGGAGGCCCCGAGAGGCACCCAAGAAGCCCCTAAGAGGCCCCCAAGAGGCCCCAAGAGGCCCCAAGAGGCCCCCAAGAGGTCCCAACACTGCTCCCAAGAGGCCACCGAGAGCGCTCCGAAGAGACCCGAAGAAACATCCCTGAGAACTCTGACCCGCAACCCAGGCACGGTGGCGGGATGGGCCGAAGGCCAGCAGATATCGGCATCATTATCTGTAAATCAATAGCACTAGCAATAGATCGATCAATGCCACTATTCCCACTGTCTGTCTACAACAGACACAACCACGGGACGGACCACCCCGGGACAACCGCCGCGGGACAGCCGCGGGACAACCGCGGGACGGCCACGGTACAGCCACGCGACAACAACGGGATGGGCACGGAAGAACCACGGTACCACCACGGGACAACCACGAGACAACCACGGGCACGCCACTGGACCACCACGGGACTACCGCGGGACAACCCACGGCACGCCCTGGCGGACCGGGCCCGACTTGGTCTGGTTTGACCTGGGCCTGGCTGGTGGAGGAACTCGCGCTGCCCCGCCTCGCCCGCAAGCATGCCACGCGCGGCACGAGCCGAAACCGAAACCGACGTTTCACTTTGGAGCCTCCGTCTCACTTCGGCCTCGGGCTGGGAAACATTTGCTTGCGATGACGAACTGTGGAGGAATGTGATAGCCCTTCAGGCGACATCGGCGCCTGTCCCAGACTTCCCGGGTTTACGGGATTCTGAGAAGCCCCGACCTTTTCCACAGGGCCTGTTTTTCACCCCGAGTCGTCTTCTGACGGTCCCAGGGTCTGGCGAGGGCCCTCCGGAAACGCCCGAAAACCTTCGTCGTGATTTCTTCACATCGCGCGCATGTCTGGGGCATTGCAGAGGAGGGAGGAGGGAAGGAGGAAGGGGAGGAGGAGTAGAAGGAGGAGGAGGGGGAGGAGGAGGAGGAGGAAAAGGAGCAGGAGGAGGAGGAGGAAGGGGCGGCAGAAAGACAGGAGGAGGAGGAGGAAGAGGAGGAGGAGGAGGAGGCGGAGGAGGAGGAGCAAAGGGATGAGGAGGAGGAGGAGGAGGAAAGGGATGATGATGAGGAGGAGGAGGAGGAGGAGGAGGAAGAGGAGGAGAAGGAGGAAAAGGAGGAAAAGGAGGAGGAGGAAAAGGAGGAAAAGGAGGAGAAGGAGCAGGAGGAGGAGGAGGAGCAGGAGGAGGAGGAGGAGTAAATAAGGAGGGAAATGAGGAAAAGGAATATTTCTACTTCGCGCGGGCGGGGCGGCCCCTGGAGGTCCCCAGGCGAAAAGTACACCGAGACGATCCCGGCAGACTCGGGTCAGAGATGGTTTTCCTCCTGGGCGCCGCCCTCGAGGTTCTCCAGAGAGCCCCAAGAAGGGCGAAGAGGCGTCCAAGAGGCCCTCAAGATGGTACAAGAGGTTCGGAGATGCCACAAGATCGCTCCAAGACGCCCAAGATGGCCCTCAGAAGTGCCAAGAGGCCTCCAAGAGCACTCCCAAGAGGGCCCCAAGAGGCAAAATTCAATGTTGCCCCTTAGGTTTTGGAAAGATTTTGGCGTTTCCACCTTTTCGACTTCTCGACGCACCAACGCGGCCCAAGAGGCCCCCAAGATCGCCCCAAGAGGGCCCAAGAGGCTCCCAAGAGGGCCCCAAGACGGCCCAAGAGTGCTCCAAGACGGCCCAAGAGGGCCTCCAAGACGGCCCAAGAGGGCCCCAAGAACGCCCCAAGAGGGGGAACACGAAACAACATTTCGAGCCATCGGCCCTAAGAAGCCCCCAGGAGGCCCCAAGAGGCCCTTAAGAGGCCCCGAAAAGCCCCCAATAGGCCCCCAGGAGGCCCCCAAGAGGCCCCCTAAGAAGAGGCCCCCAGGAGGCCCCAGGAGGCCCCCAAAATGCCCCCTCGAGCAAGCAAGCAAGTGCCAGCGATGCTACAATGCGGGCCGGCGGAATGAGCGAAGCGATTGAATAAGAAGGGAAAGGAGGAAAAGGAGGAGAAGGAGTAGGAGTAGGAGTAGGAGTAGAAGTAGGAGTAGGAGTAGGAGTAGGAATAGGAACAGGAGTAGGAGTAGGAGTAGGAGTAGGAGTAGGAGGAGGAGGAGGAGGAGGAGGAGGAGGAGGAAAAGGAGGGGAGGAGGAGGAGAGAAGGAGGGGGAGGAGTAGGAGAAGGAGGAGGAGGAGGAGGAGGTGGAGGAGGAGGAGGAGGAGCAGGAGGAGGAGGAGGAGGGAAGGAGGAGGAGGAGGAGGAGGAGAGGAGGAGGGGAGGGGAAGGAGGAGGAGGAGGAGGAGGAGGAGGAGGAGGAGGAGGAGGAGGAGGAGGAGGGAGGAGGAGGAGGGGGCACGGAGGAGGGAGAGGAGCCCAGCCTGCCGTGCAGGAGCGCCGCCGCAGCCAAGAGGCCCTCAGAGGACGCGGGCCGAAGCGGGCCGCGCGACTCTGCTGGGGGGGGGGGGGCTCGCCGCGAGCCCGCCCTTCCCGGCAGGCAGGTGGCCCAAAGGTGGCCTCCGAGACGCCGCCAAGACGCCTCCAAGACGCACTGAACGTTGGGCGGAGGGGGGGGGGGTCTGGCTCCGGACGTCGGCTTGGTGCGACTGTTTGGGACCGTGCGTCTCATATGGGAGCTCTACCTGCTCGAAACAAGCGCCAAAAACAGCCAAGATCTACTCCACAGCGGGGGGGGAGAGGGGGGTGCGAGGGCCCGCGCCGATCGGCAAAAGAATTAATTGAAACGACCCCCAGGAGGCCAAAGTCATGGAAGCTCCTGCGGTTTTTGTTCACCCGTTCTCGTTCTCGCCTTCTCGGGCTTACGCCATCCGAAGACTGCCCCAGCAAAGATAGCCCCGAGAAGGCCCCAGAAGCCCCCAAGAGGGCCCCAAGACGGGCCAAGCCGCCGGCCAGGGACATTGGTTTCACGGCAAGTGGTCCTCCAGGATTCATCGTATACATGTTATGGAACTGTGGACGCACGCATTGTTCTTTCGAATCGATAGCTCCTGCCAGGATATGCGTCCAGACGTCTAGCCCTGAATCAAAGTGAGCTGTGGACTCTGCATGGCGCTGAATATTCATCAACTCGTTAAGGTATCAGCAACTGGTACATAACGGTACGGACAGAGCAGATGGCGCCGGGTGGCACCAGGAGGCAGGAGAGCCCAGAATCGAATCGATGAGTCGGATCGGCAGGCTAGCTGGCCTCCGCTGAGAAATCGACATCCAAATCGGAAACCGCAATCGAACCGAATCGGAATCGAAAGCCAGCGAAATCGAATCGGAGGAGACGGAACGAGCCCTGGGAGGCGAGCGGGGCCTGAAGCTGCTCCCCCTCGAACGACAGGCAGGAGTTATCGCCGTAGAGTGGCCCGAGTGCAGCCCTCCAACGGCGCCACGGCGCAGAGGCGGCACGGAGGGGCAGGGGAGGGGTAAGGCGCGGGTGCACGGTTTCCCCTGGGGCCGCAGGCGGCCCGAGGTGAAGGAGGAGGAGGAGGAGGTAGAGAAGGGGGAGGAAGAGGAGGAGGAAGAGGGGGAGGAGCAGGAGGAGGAGGAGGAGGAGGAGGAGGAGGACGAGGACGAGGAGGAGTAGGAGGAGGAGGAAGAGGAGGAGGACGGGTCGCCTAAGCCCCTCGGAGAAACCCTCCAGGCGCGGGCCAGCGCCGTCAGAAAGGAGCCTCCACCGCCCAAAAAAACACGAGGACTCGCAGGGGCTCCTCCCCCGAGTCGGAGACGCCCTCGTTGTGCCCGTGCACTGCAGCTGATCCCTCGGCCCATCCGCGCTTTGATGCAACGAGGCCAGGACGGGACGGAGTCGGACCATGACAAAGTGTGGATCTCCGAGATCCGGCGGCTCGGAGGATGCGTCTGGCGCCGCGGCCGCTCGAGAGCGTTCCAGGACGCTGTGAGCGCGTTCCGGAACGCTCTGGAACGCTCTACCCCGATCCGAGCCCCCACAAGTTCTCGTCGGCCGCACCAGCCCTGGGAGGAGGCGAGCTCCCCAGCACTCAAGCCTCGACAGATCACCCGGAAGGCGTGCGACGTGCACTTGCCAACAGAAGCCCTTCTGCGCGTGGAGTGCGGCGCGCCGTGGGCAACCAAGGGCTCCAGTGTCGGAGGCCGACGAGCAAGGTGAGCCTACCTCGGGCCCGGGGGCAGTGATGGAGGCAGTGGCAGCGGCACTGGCAGTGGCAGTGGGAGCGGCAGTTGCAGTGGCGGTGCTGGTGGCAGCGGCAGTGGTAGTCGTAGCGGCAGTGCACGCGGCAGTGGTGGTGGCAGTGGCAGGCAGTGGCAGGCAGCGGCAGTCACGGTGAGCTGTAGTGGCCGATATGGGGGCACCATCATTGGTAGCAAGATGCATACCAGAAGTAGCAGCGGTAGCACTCGTAGTAACGGTAGCACTAAGAGCAGGTCTAAGAAACTGTTGTAGTCGTGGTAGTCGTGGCAGAGATGGTAAACGTAGTTCAGCAAAGGAAAGCTGAAAGCGTCAGTACAACCATTTTCAGGTACGACGTCCAAAAGTGCGCACGGCTGTTGTGAATCACGTGGTTTGTGATGTGCCTGCTGCTCATGCTTTGCGCTTCTCCTGTGTCTGCTTCCGGGTAAGCCTAGGTTATAGACTCTTTATCCTTCTGCTTCTCCTGCTTCTCCTCATGGTCCTACTGCTCGAACTCAGTGTCCTCCTCATCCCTCATAAAGCTGTTGCTTCATGGCGTTGAGGTGCGGCAAGGCAGAGAGAGAGATAGAGAAGGAGAGAGGGAGAGGATTGAAGAGGGATGAACAAGCATACAGACGGACAAGAATCGTGCATTCTTCATAGACAACCACCCGCCATGGATTTCTGCTCAAGTGCATCGAATTGCTCCTCATCCTGAAGTGGCAGCACGAACTCTGGCCGTATGCATACATGCATACATGTGAATCTACAGCAGCACAAGATGCTATGAGATAGCGTATGGCGCCCCGCGACGCCAGTGGCAACCGGGAAACACTCAACTTGAGACACTGAGCATCTCATCCGTTGCGGAGGGCGGGGAGGAGGAGGGGAGTAGGAGGAACCGGGACGAGTATGAGGACGAGAGGGCAAGGACGGGGGACGATGGGGTGGAGGAGAAAGAGGAGGAGGAAGGAGATGAGGAGGTGGAGAGGATAAGAACGAGGAGAACAACGACGACGAATAGAAAGGAGAGCACGAAGGGAAACAGAAAAGCTTACAGATCGTTTCTAGCTCGCTTGAACCCTGTGGCCAACAAATTCCTCGCTACGTGCACCCCTGCCTCGATATTTGCTCAAAGCCCGCTTCCGCAGCGGTCCTATTGGTGTCGAAGGTCTGGTAATAGTGCTGACAAAATTGTTCACCGACCTTCGCTCCAGCTCGACATGCGTACTCTCTCCCTCTCTCGCTCTTGAACAGATGTGTTCGTAGACATGCGTATCACAGTATCTGAAATTCTCTCCGTTATGACGAATCTGGACCTGCCAAGGAGCAACGTGGACCTCCAAAAACATGGTCCCAGTGGCTCCCCGAAGTACGTTTGCAGCTCGGGCTTCTCAAACTACTGAACTGGGCATGAGGTTGCAACATGTTTTTCGTAACCAGAAACTGCGCCCATGGGTTGCGCCATACGTCGCGACCGTGGATTGCACCTGACGCCCCAGGATCTCTCGTGGCTATAGGTTGCATCATGGGTTGCGCCATAGGTTGCGCTGGGAGGTTCGGCCAAAGACTCAGCATATGCCTTCACAACCTGCAAGTGTTGCGTATGAGGCTCGGATGATTTCGCATGACAAGACGTTGCGTCCATGGGTCCAGCATGGGGCTCGGAGGATGTGTTCGTGGCCATGGGCTGCGCCCATGGATTGCGTCACACATTGCGTCCGTGGGTTGCGCCTGAGGCTCGGATGGCTACCTTCGCGGCCATCAGGTGCGCACATGGGCTGCGACGCACGTCCCGCCCATGGATTGCGCTTGAGGCCCTGGGGATCTCGTCGTGGCCATACGTTGTACCCATGGCTTGCAACACACAGATTGCCCTAGCTCAATGCTTGAGTTCTGCGCTGTAACCGAACATTTTAGCTGCCTGAACCTGCGCGGCTTGCCTCTCAAACCAAAAAGCAAAAAGCGTACCATCGATACGCTCGCACTTCTGCCACCGATGCGCCATAACGGTGCGGCCCTGCGGCCCGACAAGGACGACCTCCGCCTCCGCCTCCTCCTCCTCCTCCTCCTCCTCCTCCTCCTCCTCCTCCTCCTCCTCCTCCTCCTCCTCCTCCTCCTCCTCCCCCTCCTCTTCCTCCTCCTGCGCCCCCTCCCGCCTCCCTTCTCCCGCCTCCCGCCCCCCTCGGCACGAGGGAGACGGGCCCCGATGGAGGCGGCTCCTGGACCCGAAGGGGCCTCCCCCGGGACCGGCTCCTCGTCCGGAGCCGCCCTCGGACGGCCCCCGCGGCCCGCGGGGGAGCCCCGGGAGGGCCCGGAAGCTGCGGAAGGAGCAGGGGCAACGGCAAAGGGGGGAAGGGGTGGACGCATCGGCCTGGCATCGGCGACGCATCGCCGATAGGTCGGCGATGGGCCCCTGACAGCGCAACCGCACGCTCCTGGGCGGGGTGGGCCATCGGGCCCCCGTCGGTGACCAATGGGCGATGGGGGGTCGATTCATCACCCTCTGAGCCTGTCCCCCCAGATCGTTGCCCCTGACTGCCATCGGGACTACGGGTTCGCTGACGTTGCGCGTGGGCGCCAGGTCCACGGATCGGGGAAAATGCCCCTCGAGGCATGGCGCCAGTGCCGCCAGATGTTGCGGCGGAGCGCGTGGGATCTGCGTGGGAGCGGGACCCGTCGCGAAGCTTCGCTCCCCGACCCGTGCTCGCGCGCCCTCGATGCGGGCCCAGACGGCACGACCTCCTCCCCCTCCCCAGCATGGTCTCGGCACCCACGCCAAGGGCTCCCCAGCCGGCCGGGCCTGCTGAAACTGAGCGCCCGCCATGCTGCCCCGGCGCCAGCGGGACCCCTGCCGGTTTGAGCCACCTCAAGTCTGAGGGGGGGAGGGGAGTCAAGTCTGAGAGGGCGAGGGCGAGGGCGAGGGCGAGGGCGAGGGCGAGGGCGAGGAGGCTCCTCATCTCCTCCCTCCTCCTCCTCCTCCTCCTCCTCCTCCTCCTCCTCCTCCTCCTCCTCCTCCTCACCCTCCACCTCCTCGTGTCCCTCCTCCGCCACCTACTCCTCCACCTCCTCCTCCCCCTGCTTCTTCACCTCCTCCCCCTCCTTTCTCCCTGTGCTCCCCGCCCCAGGGGAAGGGGGCACTTCTGCCCTGCTTCGGGGCCCTCGCGGGTCGATCCCGCTCGAGAGAGAGAGAGAGAGATAAGCCGCGCAGGCACGAGGTCGAATGCTGCCGTCGTGATTTTCCCGGCGCCGGATCTCGGGGGGAGAGGGGAGAAGGGGAGGAACAGCGAGGAGAAAGGGAGGAGGGA